TTATATGAATATCTTATTTTGGAATAAGATCATATTTTCTAAAGAATATAACTCACAAAGTAGGAATTCACAAGGAATAACTCACAAGGAATTCAAAGAAATCAGATAAGTATTATCTTAAACCGCTTATGTTTTCTCAATTTATTCTTGTCTATCTTTCAATCTTTTACCCCGCCCACCTTATCTTTTCTCTTTATCCGTGTATTTCGCCAAAGCAGCCCGAAGAAAATGAAATTACTCGCACAATATCCACGAAGTTGCCTCAAAGTGTACAAATCTCCGCTGTTCTTTTCCGTTGCAGACCTGATTATATCTCCAAGAAAGATCTTATTTTCTTTATCATCGAAATTTCAGATCAGCAGACAGTATCATTTCAATCCGTACTGTCGATCATTTCTTTTTTCTTACCAGTTGAACTTTCAATACATCCCGTCTAGACTTTATTTTTCCCCCGCTCCACGGATTCTCTTTCAGCTAATTCTGAATGCAGCCTGCAAACAGTACGTGCCTCCAAGGTTCGTGAAATTATTCACGATATCATGTAAGATGTAATCACGTAACGTGGCTGCAGACAAAACGATTTCGCTGCTGTTGTTTTTCCTGGTTTTGCGTCTTCGCTGCATGAAATTGCTCACGCCAACAACCGAAGAAATAAAAGCGTTGCTTCTTTTATTCAGTCGCGTTCGTCTAGTCGCTCGAATTAGAAAGATGGTTTATAATTAATTATAATGTGACTGATACGTGTCTATTTTAGGTGACATGTCTGCCTTTCTTATTTATTTTTCAACACCGTCGTTACGGGTTTAATATATTCTGAATATGCGACAAAGAATTAAGAATTATATTACACATCAGACGGTGTATTTTTTAATGTGCAGAGTGTAATGTGATCTTACATGTATTCTGCAAACGATTCTGAAAAATTCACAAATTTCTAAATTTCTAAATTTCTAAATTTCCAAATTCCACAAATCCCAAATTCCGCAATTTCCCCCAATTCCAAATACCCCAAATCCCAAATACCCCAATTTACCCCAATTCCAATTTCCCCAAATCCCAAATTCCCCACATTCCAATCTCTTCAAATTCAAAATTCCCCAAATTCCAAATTTCTCCAATTCCAAATTCCCCCAATTCCAAATTCTCCAAATTCAAAATTCCCCAAATTCAAAATTCCCCAAATCCCGAATTTCCCCAATTTCAAATTCCTTAGATCCCAAAATCCCCCACTTTCAAATTCCCCAAATCTCAATTTCCTCAAATCCCAAATTCCCCAAATCCAAAATTTCCCAATTCCAGATTCGTCAAATCCCAAACTCCTCGAATCCCAAATTCCCCAAATCCAAAATTCCCCAAATCCGAAATTCCCCAAATTCAAAATTCCCCAAATTCAAAATTCCCTAAATTCAAAATTCCCCAAATTCAAAATTCCCCAAATCCCAAATTTCCCCAATTTCAAATTCCCCAAATCCTAAATTCCCAAATCCCAATTTCCCCCAATTCGAAGTTCCCCAAATCGCAAAATTCCCCAAATCCCAATTTCCTGAAATCCGAAATTCCTAAATTCCCAAATTTAAAAATTTTCAAATTTTGTAATTTGTAAAATGTTGTGGTACATCTGTAACAAGAAATGATTGCTATTGATTGTAAACCATAAACTAGAAAATAATAATAAAATATATTAGGATTAAACTTATCAGTGTTTAGTACGTACATAATTTACAATTGAAAATAATTGAGTATAAATTGTGATTAACACAGCGCTGAAATTAACATTTTAAGTAATTATACAAATACAATTTATGGTAGCAGAAATATACTTCTGTTTCATTTAATTTCAAATCAAATTGAAACATATATTAAAACGTTTATGTAGTAATTCAAAATTGTCATAATGCATTTTGCGAACAAATTGTTCCGTGTTACATATAACGATTTTATCTGCACCAGTTGTTGCTCCACATTTGGCTTTCGCACGAGGAGTACTATATCAGTTAATTGGAAGGTTAATTTCCTTCCGTGAGTCATCGGTGTAGTTTCGAGATTTAATATAGATAGAAGGTGAAAAGTAGCTGAATAATACTTTCTGACGTGGTGATAAAGCTGTCACGAAAGCGCTTATGACTGGACAAAAACCCATGTGTCTGTTCATTTTAATGTCATGAACTGAAACGAGGAATTAAAAGATCTGCATAAGAATTTTAGAAGCCCACGAAGTCAACTTACATTTTTCATACATATTATTTTGCATTTAAAAACGTGTTTAATCCCTTCATGCTCAATCTTGCATATAAAATAACATGACGCATATATTAATTTATAACAACTGAATGATAAATGTATTTTTATTAAGAATGATTGTATAAGATACAAGGTAACATGAAGTGTATAATTTGCTTATAAAGCCTCTGTTACTAGCAGGTCTACAGATCAGGGTCCCTAAAATATGTACTTAAAATTTGGATTGTGAAAATTTGGAAGTTTTGAAACATTATAAGTTAGATTGTAAGTAGCGTGATTTGCTCATTTATAAATTTTCACGTTTTGAAGTTGATAAATTTGAAAAATTAGAAATTTGGAAATTTAGGAATTTTCCTAATTCCTAAATAAGAATTTAGGAATTTGGAAATTTGAGGAATTTAGAATTTGGGGATTTGGGGTTTGGGGAATTTGGGATTTGGGAAATTTGGGATTTGGGGAATTTGGGATTTGGGAAATTTGGGATTCGGGGAATTTGGGATCTGGGGAACTTGGGATTTGGGGAATTTGAAATCCGGGGAATTTGGGATCTGGAGAATTTGGGATTTAGGGAATTTAGGATCTGGAGAATTTGGGATCTGAAGAATTTGGGATCTAGGGAATTTGGGATCTGGCGAATTTGGGATCTGAGGAATTTGGGCTCTGGGGGATTTGGGATCTGGAGAATTTGTGATCTAGGAAATTTGGGATTTCGAGAATTTGGGAATTCGGGGATTTGGGGAATTTGGGGAATTTTGGGAATTTGGGTATTTGAGAATTTGGGAATTTGGGAGTTTGGGAATTCTGGAATTTTCGAATTTTGGAATATAGAAGTTTTGTAATTTGTGAATTCGGAAAATTAGAAATTTGGGAATTTAAAAATTACGAAATTAAAAAATTTACGAATTTGCTAATTTGGTAATTTAGTAACCCAAAAAGTTAGAAATTTTAATATTTAACAATCTCCAAATTCTAAAACGTAAAAATTAAAAAATCTGAAATATGAAAAATTTGAGTAGCCTGCAAAAAATAATAAATAATATTACTTCCTTATTTAGTCCTCTAAAGAGAATTTGTTATTTCCAAACGTATATAGTACCACTTCCGCTTCAATGTTGGAAGAATTTTATCGAGGTGAATTCCACTATACAGAACATCGTTTCAAGAAATAGAAGATTTACTTTCATTTCATCGGTTCGCCCCATTATCATTCCGACCGTCGGTGTTAGACCACGTTCACTTCTCCAAGTGTTTTTCCCATTGATTTTTCAGCGAGCTTTCTCAGCAGCGGTTCGTTTTCCAAAAACACAAAGACCATTCCGCCACGAGGTTTTCTCTCGTCGTTATTAATTCCAGCGTTCTTTCTCCAAGGTGGTAATGGCTGAGTTGACGACCACACATTCGTACCAAGGGAGCTGCAGCTCCTTATATCCCAGCATTGAGGCATCGACGTCGTTCGATTGGAAAAGCCCTGACGACGTGCTGTACCGAGTGCTTTTCGATACGCTTCGATCGCTCTCACCGTGAAACGAAACGAGCCTTTTCAGGCCCGAAACTCGATTCTGCCCTTTCCTTTTAAACTAGTCCACACATCCACATACGTTCGTTCGCAGCTACACATTGCACAATCAACCCACGAATGCGTTATCCGATATATCGAACGTGAAATTCTCTGAAACGGGTGGCTGATTTTTTGTCAAAAATGTGTTTGCAATTCTTTTTTTATCAAAGGTATCGTTGATTTTACCTTTATGGTTTGTTTTCATTTTCCTTCCGCAAAATTTTTTAAGTGAAAAACGCTTGCGGAACTTTATTTCGTCAGAGCTTTTGATTTGCCGTTTTTTTCAGGTTATGTTTGAAGTCTTTTCAAATTCTGTAGTTTTGCGTGGTTTTTTGCAGGAAAGAAAAAATTTTCAATTTGTGTAGCTTTAGAATTTCAACTAAACGCTTGGGGAATTTTTTTTACGTAAGTTTTTATTTATTTTGGGGGTTATGTATGAAATTGTTTAGAAGTTCTGTAGTTTTATTTTGCAAGGTTTTTTCAAAGGAAACTAAAGAGAAAATTATAGGTTTGTGTTTTAGAGTTCAAGTAGAACGCTTGAAAAATTTATTTTAACGTAATTTTTTATTTATCATTTTTTCAGCTTATGTTTGAGTCTTCTAAAATTGCGTACTTATGTTTTGCAAGATTTTCTTAGAGAAAAGTAACGAGAAAATTTTCAGTTTGTGTAGTTTTAAAATTCAAGTTAAATGCTTGAAAAATTTCTATTAACATAATTTTGTATCTATCATCGTTTGTAAACACTATTCCGAAAACAGACAACCGTAGTAGTGGAAGTCATGACAGGAAATTGTACTAAATCGCTTACAGGTCGTTTTACAGTCGATTTGCTCGAAAACGGAGCACCGAATGAGAAAATGTTATACCAAAATATTTTCTTCTTTTTAACGTAAAATCACCCTCTGCTCGGTTGTATTACGATTTCCGGCCTACCCTGTATTAATCTTCCAAATCCCCCATTAATCTTCTTAAGAATATCAATTATTTCCGTTTATCGATAAAATACTCGATGATAACTAAATTACTTTCGTCGTCAAGTTCATGAATTTTGGGACCATCTCAAATGTAATCGATCAGAATTTGTCAGTTCTGATGACGAGCGGACGAGTTGCCATTTCCTGAATCTTCCCAGAGCTTTGCAACCGAGGATATTAAGATCCTTTCGGGATGATCGATATGGGAAGGTTGCTAAGGAGCTTACCTTGAAACCCTCCTCAACGGGAATAAGAAAAGTGTAACGTCCGTCTGCCTTGAAGACTTCCTCCTTCTTTTCCTTGACGATGCGCTGCCGGAAGGTGCTGCACAAAAAGAGTGTACACATTAATTGGACAAAATGTTAGTAAGGTAAATGTTCTGGTGCTTAAACGAGTTCCGGTAATTAACAATTACGGCGAAATTTTATTAATATCATTTCTGCTTGTTCTGAACATTAAAATGTAATAGCTTTACATAAATATTATAATAATAACTTTATAATTATATATGTTTTAATTGTAAGTTTCTATAATTCAATACTTATGTTACGCAAGAATATTATTGTTTAATATTCCAAGAATTAAAGATTTTAAACGAGTTTTATTATGATTCAAGTAAGCGAGGGCGTGCTTTTGTTGCACGTTCAACTAATTAATGTTACGCTATTTTTATATAATGAAGTTGTTTTAGATTTAATACTATTTCTTATTGATTTTGCTTGAAGCATTAACCTACAATTTTTTAGACAGTTACGTCATTCACAGCTAGCTAATCATTGATGTAACGTTAAAGCAACTAAAGAAAATTAAAATTTCAAGTACATTTTACTATCAGCGATCCTTGATTATACAGATTATAATATATTATAATGCAGTGAAAATGTGAGTCTAGTTTATCAGGTTTCTGGACACCATATTGTATTGCAAGGGGTTAAATATTGAAATTGAGTATCCTAAAGAGCCAAAATCATAAAATTTGCGAATCTCAATTTACCAAAGTTGTAGTGATCGCAAATCCGAATGGTTTTAAATCGCATAATTATCAAATTACAGGGATTCCAACTTCCATCTGGAAGTTGAAACTAAAAGTGTAGTAGTGTTCAAATCACTAATTCTCGAAATTCGAAATTCCCAAAACTCAATATTCCACAAGTTATAAATTCCATAAATTCGAACTCGCCAAATTTCCCAAATTCCAGATTCCTCAAATCCCAAATTCCCCAAATCCCAAATTCCCCAAATCCCAAATTCCCCAAATCCCAAATTCCCCAAATCCCAAATTCCCCAAATCCCAAATTCCCCAAATCCCAAATTCCCCAAATCCCAAATTCCCCAAATCCCAAATTCCCCAAATCCCAAATTCCCCAAATCCCAAATTCCCCAAATCCCAAATTCCCCAAATCCCAAATTCCCCAAATCCCAAATTCCCCAAATCCCAAATTCCCCAAATCCCAAATTCCCCAAATCCCAAATTCCCCAAATCCCAAATTCCCCAAATCCCAAATTCCCCAAATCCCAAATTCCCCAAATCCCAAATTCCCCAAATCCCAAATTCCCCAAATCCCAAATTCCCCAAATCCCAAATTCCCCAAATCCCAAATTCCCCAAATCCCAAATTCCCCAAATCCCAAATTCCCCAAATCCCAAATTCCCCAAATCCCAAATTCCCCAAATCCCAAATTCCCCAAATCCCAAATTCCCCAAATCCCAAATTCCCCAAATCCCAAATTCCCCAAATCCCAAATTCCCCAAATCCCAAATTCCCCAAATCCCAAATTCCCCAAATCCCAAATTCCCCAAATCCCAAATTCCCCAAATCCCAAATTCCCCAAATCCCAAATTCCCCAAATCCCAAATTCCCCAAATCCCAAATTCCCCAAATCCCAAATTCCCCAAATCCCAAATTCCCCAAATCCCAAATTCCCCAAATCCCAAATTCCCCAAATCCCAAATTCCCCAAATCCCAAATTCCCCAAATCCCAAATTCCCCAAATCCCAAATTCCCCAAATCCCAAATTCCCCAAATCCCAAATTCCCCAAATCCCAAATTCCCCAAATCCCAAATTCCCCAAATCCCAAATTCCCCAAATCCCAAATTCCCCAAATCCCAAATTCCCCAAATCCCAAATTCCCCAAATCCCAAATTCCCCAAATCCCAAATTCCCCAAATCCCAAATTCCCCAAATCCCAAATTCCCCAAATCCCAAATTCCCCAAATCCCAAATTCCCCAAATCCCAAATTCCCCAAATCCCAAATTCCCCAAATCCCAAATTCCCCAAATCCCAAATTCCCCAAATCCCAAATTCCCCAAATCCCAAATTCCCCAAATCCCAAATTCCCCAAATCCCAAATTCCCCAAATCCCAAATTCCCCAAATCCCAAATTCCCCAAATCCCAAATTCCCCAAATCCCAAATTCCCCAAATCCCAAATTCCCCAAATCCCAAATTCCCCAAATCCCAAATTCCCCAAATCCCAAATTCCCCAAATCCCAAATTCCCCAAATCCCAAATTCCCCAAATCCCAAATTCCCCAAATCCCAAATTCCCCAAATCCCAAATTCCCCAAATCCCAAATTCCCCAAATCCCAGATTCCCTAAATCCCAAATTCCTCAAATCCAAAATTCCTCGAATTCCCCAAGCCCCAAATTCCCCAAATCCCAAATTCTCGAAATCCCAAAATCCCCAAATCCCAAATACTCCAAATTCCCTAAATCCTAAAATTTCAAAAATCCTTAAATTTTAAATTACTTAATTCTAAAAATTCACAAATCCCGGAACCACAAGATTCTGAAACTGTTACTCTTCCCGTAGTCTCTGATCAAATTTTCGAATCTGGAGGAATCACTATCCATATAAAGCACTTCCTCTTCCAATTACAATATTTTCCTTCGAAAAGTCCGATTTGCTCTCAAGCGTACAATTTACGTACTATCGCTTCCATTAGCGAAATAGAACGTACAACTAATAGCCATGAAACTGTAAATAAATAACTTACAAATCCAGCGCAAACAAATAACAGATTATTACGAATTTCTCTCGGAATTCTGTTCATTGTTACTCATTACAACTTTGCTCGTTTCCCGTGAATTAAAAATTGACAAATTAACGTTGTATAGCGCGAGGAATGAATTTACGCGGAGCAACCGGGAAAACCGTTCTATCAGAAAAATTGCCAGACGAGTATATTGAGAAAGTTCTGTTCGTGTTTCACATTGCGGAAACAAGCGAGAACGGTGTACAGGTGCGAACGGTAAATGAAATGCAGCGAAGCTTAAAGAAGTTTCGGAAGGGCGAAGCTAATTCACTCAAGTTTTACTTGCTCGGATGGCAAGCTTCACGGGCGTCGTGCCTTTAAATATCGATAAAGACTTGACAAAGTGAGCATCGAAGTTACTTAAGAAACAACTACCAAACTTGCTTGCATCTACATCTTTCGGAGGATTTGTACGGATTTTGCGGCTGTGTTCGAGTCTGGAAGTGGCACGGTAAGAAGAAACTGGAAATTGATTTAAACGAGAAATGTTTGTTGATATAATTTTCATTTATGAATTTATACTGAAAAATTTTATTTACTGTTTTAATGTAAAAGGTATGTTACACTTACCGAACACGATGTACACCCAAGTCGAAGTTTTCACTCTGGTTCAGAAACTCGAAAGCGTTTGGATTGTAAATCGGCATTTCTGCAGAATTGGGGCGGACAGGTTCGAGCACTTCGTTTATTATGTGCAGAACCTGAAACAAAATAAAATAATTCGCTCGTGAAGTGATTTGTAAACGTTCTTTAATAAAATAAACATATTTTATTTATTTAAAACTTAATAAGTAAGCAATGAGTCATTGTATAGGTTCATAAATGAACTAAATAAAATAATTAGTTTCACATTCTAATTATTATATTTTTTAATCAATTGATTTTATTTATATTGAGGATTGACACTAGTAATAAAACAAAATAATTGAAATCGAAGTAAAAATTCATTTCGTTATTTGAGTCGGAAACAATTAAAAACTTAATGGTCAATAAAGAATATGTGAAATTAATAGCGAAACTATGGAAATTTTGCTGACTGTATCTGGAACGCATAAAACATTCAAACAGCGTGGCGCTTTATTGAAACATCATATAACAGTAAATATCGTAATATTATGGGAAGTTTCTCCATTTCGTCCTACAACCAATGTTGAAAATTCATGTTTATGAGAGGATCAGTCGTACGAATTCAAATGACTCGATTTGCAGTTCATATGGATCAGATTTTTCGGTGTTCCGCAGAATAAGCTTAAATTTCCATCGCAATTTCTCGCATGACCCGACAATTGACACAAGAATTTACAGAACTTTGAAATATGATATCATTTACTCGGTTTACGTTTAAATGCAAACTCGTTCAACGGGGAAATTAAGCTAATTTGATAAATGAATTTGTCGCGGAGAATCAACTACAATCCTCTTTAATTGATAATATTTTTAATTGCCGTTTGATCGAGGAGCCAGCAATATTTCCTATTTGTTCAGGGTTATTTTACCTCTTTGAAAAATGAGTTTAACTGGGTGCGGTATTTCATTTGTTAGGAGATAAAAGTATACGGAAAATGAATTATATTTTCGTTTTTTTAACACGTCGTTTGTTTTTTTTCTTTGCAGAAAATCAATAGTAGCCAACAAATTTGTTATGCTAAAAAGTAACTAACGAGTAAATAAGTAGTTAAAAATTGTCTTAATAGATGTGACTAGTGACTGACTGGTTGCACTATGCATATATGACTAAATATTCACTAGTTCAACTAGTTATTTCAGTTGTAATTTATCTATTTGTTAATTATTTAATTCGCATCGTTACATAATCATACGATTAGTAAAATCGATCTGAGAGAAAGTTAAAAAGTATCGGTGAACAGTTATATTTAGAAAATACATTCAAGATACGCCAAGAAGAAGAAACATCAAAAACTACATAAATAGTGTCTCCATGTGAATGGAACGAGAAGGCATGTTATTCGAATGTGATTCGCAAGGCACTATTTGGCAATGTCCAAACCCTGTAAAGAATCGTGGATACCGTTAGGATGAAGATTCTGTATAGTTGATCTGAAGAAATCGCGAGGCAAGCGATACAAGCGTGACGATGGTGTTGGTGGCAAAGATACAGTAAGACAAACGACGTTGCTGAGCAAACGGGGACACGAAACGATGGAAGAAGAAGATTAAGCGAAGACAAGAGGAAAAACGGACACGAAGGAACCTGGTCCGGGTATTTATTCTGCGGCGAGAAACGCAACTATTTCATGGGTGTCGAGTTGGATACCGGTAGAACAGCGCCCTCTTCAGCTTCCACCTTCATTGGAAAAGGTACACCGCCATTTACTATCCTGCAGTACGCGACTGGAACGTCCCACCGCTATTTATCCGCTTTTCTTCACGATCACCGTGATTCTTTCTTTTATCTCGACGAGTATTCTTCTTCTGCTCGATAACGCCGTTTTGTTCCCTTACGAGGTCGACGTACGCGACGATAGGAACAGAAGAATGGTGGACTGAGAATGGCTGTGGAACGATCCTGCATTTTACGAGGCAAATCATTTTAGATAGAGAACTCGTAATAGAAATCCGGATAGCTTACGCTATTTATATTATTTGGAGAAATTCGGGGCAATTATATCCAGGATTATTTCGGTTCTTGGTGACCGGAGTGTGCCTGGGTAATTTAACTTCTGAAAATTGCTATTTTAATATTTTAATGTATTAAAGTATTATTTTACGGTTTTACTGTATTATATTACTGTTTCACTATTTTAATGTATTAAACTATTTTACTATTTTAATGTATTAAACTACTATCTTGCTGTTGTAGTGTATGAAGTCACTTTTCCACTATTTTAATATAATATTGAATCATCATTTTATTATCTTAACATGTTAAATTATTATTTTAAATATTCTAAATTGAACACTGGCCAAAATAATCATTGCTTATCAATGTATGTATATTAATTATTATTTTAAAAATTCTTCACTATGAGAGCATTATTAAATAATATTAAAATTAGAAAACCGCATTTTTTGATTTCTAAAGTTAATTACATCTATTATCTATTATTTTCAATTTATATTTTGTCATAATCTCAGGCTATAGTTATATTAATAATATATATATTAAGATAATAATAATAATACTATTATTGTAATATATATTAACACAATGTTTAAAATTGCAATTTTTTAAGCCTTATAAAAGTATATTTCTTACTCTTGTTCACACATATAAGAAAATCTATGATTTTTATTTATACTTGACTTCAAAAACTGTACAACCACTGTCATTTATATTTAAAAAATTTGTCCATTAATACAAATCGGTTATTGCAATGTATCATAACAACTTATATCAAAAAATTGAAAGATTACATCAATACAACCAGTTATAAAAACGAATGCTTCCGAATTAAAAGTCTGGAAAGAATAAAAATAAGATTCTTTTGATATTTGATAGTTTATTGGAACGCATATGAACGTTTGTGTTAAAAATCCTATTAGAAAATATCAATATTTCCACAAAACATCGTTCTCCATACAAACATAGGGGTGCTGCACAAAATTCCAGGACTTTGGTTATCATGGAATAGAAAAAACGAATTGTTGGTACAAACCCTTTTGTATCTTTTCCCTTTTGAAGTACGTTTATTTTTTTTCCCCGAAAAAATTGACTATGGAAAAAGTTGTGAGTATGTTACAAATCATCGCTTCGGATATATTTTTGAATAAAAGAATTCTTTTCCATACTTTCACAAAATTTTACTATCATTTAAATTTCTATCTTTTCATAGGTTTTATTGGAAATGAAATAAGTAAAAAGGGGCATAATCGGATAAAATGATTGTAAATCGAAGGATTATGGTATTTTAATTTTATATCTGATCGAGATAAAATCTTGCGAATGTTACGGGGGTTATAAAAATGTTCCAAATATAAAATTTTAGGTTAGGAAACCCAACCATTTGGAAGATATGGCTTCTCATGAATAAGGCAGTTTCCACGCTATTTGCTTGCTAATTATGTACTTTAGCGAAATTTAACTGAAACCTAAACCAGGTTATGTAAGGTTAGAATCTGTATCTTCCGAACGAGTGAATTCTCGGAGCTAAAATTTTACAGTTAGGGTATCCTCACATCCCACACTGCTCCCATCAAGTTTCATTTCCATCGTGATGTGAATATTGATTATCGATATCCTCATATGTGACTGTCCATTCTCTGTCTGTTAATACTAAATAATACATGAGAAATATTGTTATGATATCGTCAATGTGAATAGACAGCGAGGTTACTTGAACTGAAATTTATCATTAAAGCTGGCAACAGATGTTAATTAAATTGTAAAAAATATTCTACGTTCGTATATTGCAAATTAAATATTATATATATGTAATATTTATACTTAAATTAAGGAGGTTAGAAACTTGAGATCTGTCAAACAAAAAAATTTAAGAAATTGGAGATTTGAGAAACGGGAGATATGGAAACTGAAAATCTTGCAAATTTGAAAATTTGAAAATCGTGGACATTAAATGTTACGGAACTGGAAAATCGAGGATTCTTAAAATTCAGAAGTTTTTCAATTTCGGAATAGAAACCTTGGAAATTGAGAAATTTGAAAATTAGTCACTTTAGCAATTGGAAAATTTGTGAATCAAACGGTTGAGAAACTGGGAAATTTTTAAATGCAGAAATTGTAAAATTACGAAATTAAAAAGTTATGAAATTTGGTAATAAATTGAGAAATTGAGAAAATTGTAGATAAAATTGTAGATTTGTAAATTCAAAAATTAGAAAATTGAGAAACTGGGGGAATTGTGAAATTGAGCAGTTTGGAAATTATTGAAAGTAGAAAGTGGAAAACTGAGAAATTCAACAATTTGAAAATTGAAAAATTAAGAAATTAGAAAACTATGAACGTTAAAAATTAAAAACATAATAAATTCGTGAATTTCGAAATGTGAAAATTTAAGAAGTGGCGAATTCGAAAATATAGAAATTTAAAAATTGAAAATTATAGAAATGGGAATTGTAAAATTTGATAAAATCTAGAAGATTGGAAAGTAAGTGATGGCTGAACTTTATTAAATTGCTTAAATAGGAACTTTACACGTGAAAAAGATGTTATTACATATTACAGGGAGAACGACTATAACAGAACACGATCGTTATCGATCTGGTGTTCGATTTTTGATCGGTGGCGCATATGCCAAATTTCACTCCTTATCTTTCAGTAGGACATTAGAAACTTTGGAAATTAGAGAGTTAATAATCCAAAGAGTCAAGGAATCAGGATATTGGAAAATGAAGAAATGGGAGAATCGGGGAATTGGGAAATTGGGAAATTGCAGAATTAAGGAAGTAGGAAATGGGGGAATTGGGGAGTTAGGGAATAGAGAATTGGGAAACTAAGGAATTGGTAAACAACGAAGCTATGGAATTGGCAATTTGACAAACTGAGGAACTGAAAGATTGCGTAATCGGAGAATTGAAAAAATGGACAATTAAAAACTCGAAGAATTCAAAATAAGAAACCTAAAAACTGAAAAAATTTTAGAATTGATAATTCTTCTTGAAAGTTGGAATATATACCGAAATGGTAGAAGGGAACATCTCCCTTGAAGTATAGGCAGTGGGAAGATCTGAAATATGAAGCAGTATTCGCATCAGCTTATTAGTTTCGGAGATATTAATTCAA